CCCCCTGTGGCGCAGTCCTGGCAGCAAGACCAAGGCCCTTGCTCCCAAACTAACCCAAGGCTGGAGCATTGGCCAGTGGCCCCCAAAGAAGCCGTGGGGTTGTGCCCAGAAAGGTGGAGAAGGGTCCCCAACAGCTGTCACGTGACAGACACATGGTCCCACACAGAGCCTCGGGGGTGTGAAGCAGCACCACATGCAGGGCAGGAGGAACATGCAGCAGGCAAGTCTGGGGAGGTGGCTGTGGCAACATGGCTCCCCCAGGCCCCGGAGGGAGGGTGGGATGCAGCCTGCCAGGCCCTGGCCTCACCTGGAATCTACTTCAACTTCACCTGGCACCTTGCCTGCACTCATGGTACCCACAGCCCCATCCCTCTGCTCTGCAGCCACCTTGGCTGGGCTGTGGTCACAGGTTCTACATCCCAAACCCTTTCCGAGCCCACCTGCTTCTCCCCAGCAACTGTGAGCTGAGGCTCAGGCCACCATCATGTCCCCACAAATCCTTCCACCTGAGAACTAGAAGCTCCCCAAAGGAACCTGCCCCCTGATCTGAGAGCCACCCAGAACCCCCCAGCTCAGAAGTACCCACACTGCAGCAGGTGGTGCCCTCACACCTGTTCTCACTCTCAGATGTCTGGAACTGGCTGTACAGGGTGCTGGTGCTGCGGCGGGCGGCCTGGCGGGAGCCGGAGGTGGTCGAGCCGCTGCTCTGGTCACTGTCCAGGCTGAGGCTCAGGGTGGAGCCCACAGGTCCCTCCTGCAGGTACACACCCAGCGAGCGGCGGTGGTGGGGTACACTGGACACCAGCAGGGAACTGGGGGTGCCCTGGGATCAGGAGATGGGGCCTGTGTCAGTGCCGGGCGCCTCCACCTCCTCCTGGCAGGAAGCCCACCCAGCCCCCCACACCCACCCCCGCTCACACGTCCGTCTGGCCGGCCTTCGAGGCGCTGCGAGGCCTTCACCCGATCCCAGGCGTCCTTCCAGCGCTCAGGGGGTCGGCCCAACTCTGTCTCCAGCCGCTGCAGTTCCTGGGAAGAATTAGTGAACTAACATTACTCAGAAGAAAGGACACAGCCTGGAACATGAAAAGACAAAAGGAAAGAAAACACAGAAAAGCGAGACAGTAAGACCTTTCTGACACATGCATACCTGAGGACAGAAGGCAGGATGGGAGAATGCACAATATCAGCATTTAGAGACAGCACTGGATGCTTTACCAAACTAGCAAGAGGCACCACACAACACAATCAAGAGCACGACAAGCCCCAAACAGGGTATTACAGAAAAACGGCTGAAATACAAAGGGAAAAAATCCCACAAGCTATCAGAAAAAGGACATGTTCTCTTCAAAAATGCCACAGTGAAACTGCCAGCTTACTTCAACACAGAAATGGCTGGACCTCCACCTCCGGCCACGACAAGGATCAGTCCCTGACTAGCCCACCATAAACAACCACGGGCTGGACAAGAAGTGGGGCACGGAGGCCCTGAGACAGGGTGACACCAGGGGCCATGGCCACCCTGTGGGGAGACAGAGTCCGAGCCAAGCACTGAGTCTTGCTGAGCTGAGGAGGCAGCAATGGGAGGCTGGGGAGGCTGATGTCCCTGGGTCTGCAGGGTGGCAAGGGAGAGGAGGGACTAGCACAGAAGAGCTCTAGAAACACACTGAGGTCTCCTGAGTGGCCAAATTAAACTGCCCTGTGCCAGGCAAGATGTCACAAGGCCTCGGCAGCTACTAAGAAGCTGTGAGCTAAATCCAAATTCTGGAGGTTCCACACTGCAGGGAGACGGAGGAATGCCAAACAGCCAGAGTGGAGGCTCCCTGATGAACATACTAAACCTTCGACGGAAACCCGGAAGAGGCCATGTCTTCGGAGCAGGGCTCCTTGGAACCTAGAGTGAAGGTGTCTCTACAGCTGCCCTAACAAAGCTTGAAACAACCCCAGGAAAGACCTAGCTGACACAAGAACTCATTAACTGCAAGAATAAAATTCAAGACTACAGAACAGCACAGTACCAATGGCTCCACAACGCGGAGCCCACGGTGCCTAGCTTATGGAATAATTATCAGACAAGCAA